CCCCAGCCTACCCTGTCCTGGCTGGACAGCGCCTGCCCCAGCCCCACTCCCTCTCTCACCACAGGATCCACACCCCCATGTCCTTTCCCTCCTCCCTCCCCTTTCACCACAACAGACTTACCTGTGTATGAGAAATCGTGTCGGTATCGGCCAATATGCCTCCTTAAAAATCAGCTATCGGTATCGGCCCCCAAAATCTTTATCAGTACATCCCTTGTTGTGTTGAAACATCAAAAGCAAACCAAATCAGCCAAATGTCTTCAGGGTCTTGGATACTGTGAAACCCTCCAAACTCATCTCAGCAAGAAACTTGCCAATCTTAGAATTAAAAATGATAACGCTTATGTTGAGGAAAATTGGCAGTCTCTAAAGGAGACCATCCATGGGGCTTGCACAGAAGCAATTGGCTTCATCACCTAATACCATCAGGACTGGTTTGACAGAAAAATCACTGAGATCGAAGTACTTCTTGATCAGAAGAGAAAAGCTTTTTGTGACTGGCAAAACCATCCTACATTGGGTCAGAAGCGGGGAACTTTTTGACAGTTTAAAGCTGAAGCCCAGAGGAAGATTTGAGAAATCAAAAAACAAGTATTGGGAAGAGAAGGCGAAGGAAATTCAATAAGTTATTCACAGTCATGACATGCGGAGGTACTTCAGTGCAATCGAGGCTGTGTATGGACCAAGCTTCTGTGGACTCACCCTTCTTGGATCTGAAGATGGCAGTATAATCCTCAAAGAGAATAAGTCCATCAGAAACTTCTGAAAGCAGCACTACCAAAAGCTCCTGAACCGAGAATTGACGGTGACTGATGAAACCATTGAATCCATCCTGCAGCATCCAGTAAGGGAAGCACTTTCCAGTCTACCAACTGCTGAAGAAGTCTACCTGGCAGTAAGACAGATGAAGAACAACCAAATATCTGGCCCTGATGGCATGCCAGCTGAGGTCTTCAGCGTAGGTGGGGAAACTATGACCAACAACTTCCACACAATGTTTCTCAAAATCTGGAACACTGAGGAAATTCCTGTTGACCTAAGGAATGCCAATATTTTTTTACCATTTTTTAAAAGGGAGATAAGTCTGTGTGTGGAAACTACTGAGGTCTCATCCTCCGTTTCATCGCTGGGAAGATCTTTGCTCAAATTCTGCTGAACTGACTAATGCTCCCTCTTGCTGAGGAAATCCTTCCCAAATCTTATTGGGACTTCAGACCATAAAGAGGCACCATTTGACATGATTTTTGCTGCCTGGCAGATTCAGGAAAAATGCCAAGAAGAACACCAGGAACTGTATATGGCCTTTATTGATTTGACCAATACCTTTGGCTCTGTTAACCGTGAGGCTGTATAGAAGTTTGGATGCCCAGTTTATCACCATTCTAAGACTCCTTCATGACCAGATGACTGTCTGTATCCTATGTAGTGGCTCCGCTATGGAGCCTATGTCATTTGAACTGGTGTCAAGGAGGGCTTTGTGATCACATCAGTTTTGTTTTTCATTTTTCTTGCAGTTATCAAGATGCTCATCTGCGACCATCTGCCACATAGCATCAGCATGGAGTACAGGATGGAAGGGAACCTTTAAAATCTCTTCTGCCTTAAACAAAGTTACTTTGGGTTCGACTGTGGAACTTCAGCACACAGATGATTGTGCTGCTGTTGTACATATGGAGGAGTACCTACAAACTTAATTACTTCTTTCAAGCGTACCAGTGCTTAGGACTGACCCATAACATCAGAAAAACAAAGGTGCTTCACCAGTCTGCTCTGGGCCAATATGTCCCCTGGCAAACGTCCTCGTTGATGGACAGGAGCTAGAGAAGGTTGACTACTTTGCATATCTTGGCAGCCAGCTCTCAAAGAAAGCAGCGTTGATAAGGAGATCAAGTATAGGATCTGATGTGCCATATCTGCCTTTGGAAGACTGTATCATCATGTGTTAAGTGATCATGACATCAGGACTCAAACAAAGCTCCTAATACATAAGGCTGCTGTAATTCCAACTCTTGTCTATGGCTTTGAAGCTTGGGTAACCTACAAGGACCACCTGAAAAGTCCAGAATGCCATTGCCAGCACTACCTCCAGGAGATCCTTGGCATGCAGTGGGAGGATCGTCGCACAAATGCTGGTGTCCTCACCAATGCTAGCATCACCAGTATGGAAGTGTTAATTATTCAACATCAGTTGTGGTGGACAGGGCACTGTTTATGCTTGCCTGATATATGTTTACTGAAATAACAGCTATCCTGCCAACTCAGCCAAGGGCAGAGGACACATGGAGGGCTAGAGGAAACACTTCAAGAGCACCCTCAAGGTGAACATTAAGAAATGTGTCATTGATGCCACAAATTTGAGAGAAACTAGCCTGGGACAGGGCTACATAGTGATGTCTTGTAAGAGAAGGTACATTTTACTTTGAGGAAAAGCACCTTGCCCAGGAGGCAGAAAAATGACAGAAACAGAAGGAAAGGAGACAAGACTGAGAAATGTGTGGTCTGACCCTCCCTTTAAGCATCTGTGGCATTTGCCAGGGAATTGGTGGCTCTAGGATCAGCCTTCTTAGCTATCAACGGACTCATGTACAGCCCTTTACTTGACCCAGGAGAGTAATCATCCTTGACCATGGGGCATCACTGCTGCTAACTATTTAACCATTTAAAGGCAGTGGTTATCTTTAATTCATCCTCCTCCTCTTGAGCTATAAGGCCTGTTTTTTGTTTAAGTTCTCAGCTAGATAATGAGAGAGAAGAGTTGGAAGATTTTGATGCTTCCCTGTTGACCTTTGCTCTGGGTCTGTGGTGATAGCTTCTTAACTTTGAGAGCACTCTGGATTAGTGTATATATACCAAAAAATCTGTGAAGTCCTAATAAACAAGTAAATCTGTTTTACGGGGAGGGTATTATACTGCTGTATTATACTGCTGGGAGGGTATTGTACTGCTGTAAGGTAGTACTTAATGCAGAAATTTATCTTCCCTAAGAACATGTCATGTTTGCTGTGGAAGCTAACTGAATATATTGCAGATTTGCACAAGATCGGCTTGACTCTGTGAAAGAAGACTGAAGTTTGGGAATACTTGATATTAAAAAATTATGCCTCACTTTAGAAATAGCAAGAAGACTATGCCTATAATATAATCAGTTTTGCATCTTTGAAGAATAGTTACTATAAAAGCAGGGAACTGAAATAATGAGAGATTATCTGCAATACTATGCGTGTGACACCTGCTGATTTGCATTCAAAGACCTGATGAAAGATGGACGCTGGAGTAAGTGACATGAAATTCTACTGCTCTGTCAATTCAAAACCAAGATCAAAATGTCTATTTTGGCAACAGTAATTTGTCAGATGTTGAAGATTTAGTACATATGGCTTGTGGGTTTGCCTGAAAGCAGTTTCTATGTTTCATCCAAGTCGCATGATAGAAAGTTACCGCTTACCAATGCAAACATTTTTAAAAGAATGGAAAATAAGTTCAATCCTCATAGTATACTTGAAATCACCATAGAAGTTGAATCATTTTGGGGAGCTGTCATTTGAGGAATTCAATCAGTAGTTACAGAAGTTGCTTTACCTTTTTAGCAGTCACCTTTACAAAGATATTTTGGTGACTTGAAGCCTTATAATCAATAAACTTTTTCTTAGGATCCCCAGTTTTCATAAGACAAGTGTTCATGTTTTCCTAACAGTATTTTCCCCTCTTATCACCTTTGAATTGTCTGACATGAACTTTGCAGGCATCCAGCTTGTTGTGTCATCCTGTTTGATCTTGCAAGAGCAGGAAAGTTGGGAATGGGAGACCTTCAGGTGCTAACTCCATTTTTGTCATTATCAGTGAACGTAGTTAACCGCATGCTGCCTGCCCAAAATTCTTCCTGCAGTTTCATTTGGATTTGCTATTTTATTATCTTCTGTCCTGAACAATTCAGTTGATATGTTCTTGACCAGTTGTTGTAAATTTAATATTTTATGAAAGAAGTGTGTGTGTATATGTATAAAATATATAAAACCTTGCTTTAGAATCCATGAAGCTTGTTAAATACTTGTGGTATTTACTTGAATTAAGGAGTTACTTAAAATCAGTCTAATTAGCTTATGTCTACAAATTGTCATTAGAGTACAAAAAAACCAAAAGGAAAAAAATATTGGCTACTTTTGTGCTGTACTACTTTTTCTCTGTTTCACAAACAACTGGCTTTTATTTACAGTGGACAATGCTGGGTGAGGACTTACCCTGCTCCCTATTTCTGTTTATTTTCACTTTTTCAGTAGTGCATAGCTAACACATGGTTGTGATTTTAATGTTGAATAGTCTCCTCCTAACCAATGCAGTAGAGGGAGGATGGAAAATTAATTCATGGATGAAAAATGGCCATAATCCTCAGACAGGATTTGATGTATGCGAGAGCTGAATTGTTGTATTGTTTGTTTTCCGATGTTGCTCATAGGAAGAGGGAAAGGAATTCCTTTACAACGAGAACACAGTTAAGCAGACCAATAACATCATGGACAAATGGATTCTTTCCTTCATGCAGTCACTCATTCAGTTCTTCAAGGCTGAAATGGCAGGGATGTACTTCAATTTGGCTTTTTTCATTTGACCAGGGTTGCAGTGAATGTATGTACTTCAATTTTACTTTTTTCATTTGACCAGGGTTGCAGTGAATGGTATACTTCAGAGATTTTCAGGTAAAACTGCAAAAAAGAAATGGGCGAAAACTCTTAACGAGTAGACATGAGAAAATGCACGGGTATAGAATAATAATTTCATGAGTGTATGTACAGTTTTTATCATTATAAGAACTTAGTTCTGATGTATACAACAAGTTTCCACCTTGGACAAGTTCTTCCTAAGTTAAATTTGCAAAATCACCAGGTTTATTAGCTGAGTAAAATTTTCCAACATTCTGTTAAGTACACTCTATATCTTTTCATAGGATAGTAGGGCTGAAAGATGCATCACAAGATCATGTGGTCAGCCCCCTGCTCAATGCAGGATCATCCCTAACTAAATCATTCCAGCCAAGTGTTTGTCCAGTAGGGGTGTGCAAAATGGGCCATCTTCCATTCAGATTTGGATTCGGCCCGGATCAGGGGCAGTGATTCGATTCGTGGATTTGGATCACTATCCCCGATTCGATTCGGCTGAATCCAAATCTGAAGATTCGGTGCTGCTTAGAGAATCAGCGATTTGGCCATAGACACAGCTTTAAATGTTTTTTCTATATATCTCAAGGTACCAGGCACGGCTCATGTATGCTGCGATGCTGGCGCAGATGGAGTGTCCCACAGGAGCACGGGGAGGGCCTCTCACATGTTCAGCTGCGAACCCAGAAGTGGGCCGGAAGTACTTTCGGTCCACTTATGGGTCTGCTGGGGAGCACACTGGGAGGGGGGGCCCACACCCCTCCGGCTCATTGATCGGCTGTGTGTGGACCCCAGGTGCTCCCCCAGACCCAGGAGGCACCAGTCACTGAGGTGGGCGGGGTGGGGGTGGACTGGAAGTGCTTCTGGTCCACTTCTGGGTCTGCTGCCAAGCATGCTGGAGACTCCCCCGCACTCCTGTGAGACATTCCATGTACCCCAGCATCTTGGCATTCACAAGTCACCTGGTACCTTGAGGTACATAGAAAAAACATTTAAAGCTGTCTATGTCCAGATCATCAAATCTTTCCAAATCTCTCCAAATTGACTCAGAGGGTTTGATTCTGAGAGATTAAAGGGTCTCTTGATTTGAGTCGGATTTGGAGATTTGGCCACCGAATTGGGCCAAATCTCTGCCGAATTGAATCGGGGACCGAAGCTTTGCACAGCCCTACTGTCCAGCCTGCAGTTTCCAGGGAGAAATGCCACAACTTCTTGAGGTAGCCTGCTCCAGTGCTCGAGTAACCTCATAATGAGAACATTCTTTCTAATCTTCAACCTAAATTTCCTCTCCTACAGGTTGAACAGACATTGGTCATAGTCCTGTCCCCTATGGCCACAAAGGAAAGCCTATCCCCATTCTCTCTTTAGTCTCCTTTCAGGTGTTTGAAGCCTTTATCAAATCCTGCCTCTGTCTTGTCTTGTCTTGTCTTGTCTTGTCTTGTCCAAAATGCGTAACCCTAGTTCTTTCAGCTTTTCCTCATAAGTCATGCTTCCCAGGCCTCTAATAATTTTTGTCACTCAGCTGGATTCTCTCTGATCTGTCAACATCCTTCTTGAAGTGTAGGACCCAAACCAGGACACAGTACTCCAGGTGAGGCCTCACCAGTGCTGAACAGGGCAGAATCACTTCCCTTGATTTGCAAGTGACACTCTTGTTAATACAAAACAGTATAGTGTTGGCCTTGTTTGTGACAAGAACATCCTATGGAGTACTTAAGAAAGCTAAAAAATTATCACCAAATAATTGAAAAGGATGTTTCATAAGGTTGGCGCTCTCATCATATCACTTGCAACAAAATGAAACAAAGACAACCAACATACTGTAGGATGGCTGGAAAAACAAAATATTTTTTATTTATTCAAGAAGGTTTTGTAAAAGCCCCACATAGAATTTATTGGGCATAAAATGAAAATGGGTATTTGAGGAGTGGCACAAATTTGGCTTAGAGGAGATCAAATATGTGCCTAACCGTCTGTGTACTAAAAATCAAATGTGAGCCTCTGAGAGGCTTTTCTTTGTTTCAGTGACTGCTTTTGAGTTTTCTCTCCTGTGACGGAATGTAGACTGTCAGTATGATCACTTGAATGTGTTGTTTTTCTGTGGCAGTTGCAGAACTGTATTCCCTTTCCATGACAGACAGTTTGTCATAGCCAGGGTGAAACAGTCTAACTTGTTGGAGACAAAGTTATGAAATTATATGGCAACATGCGAGTGGGCTTCAGAGCATTTGGAGAATGCCACATTTTTTTAAAAGATAATGCATATCAAGGATAGACGCCATGCCACAATGGTAGCTGGGTCTTGGCATCCACCCATGTGCCCACCTCTGACCAGAACCAAGGAATTCCAGCCCACAACCTGAAAAAGTGCATAACTGCAGCAGTAAAAACTCATCTCTGAAACAATGGAGGTTAAGGGCACAATCAGAAAGCTCGAAAGTTAGAGTCCTGTAGGGGAAATTTAGAACATTCCCTATGTTGTATTAGCTGGCTTATTTTGTTAGTATCAAATTGTGGGTAGCAGGTAATTCTTACTACTTCCATTAAATTCCTAAGCTTCTAAAATGGAGACTTCAGATCAAATTTTAACATTCTTGCATCTAAGATTTGGGCACTTACCACTTCAGTGAATGAAATATTGAATCTCTAGCATATGACACTTGATTTAAAAAAGAAAGGGGAGTTGAAATGAAACTGGAGAATATAGGAAATGATTCTTCATGTTTCAGTGAGCTTAAATTCCATATTCAGATTGATAATTTACCACATTTGCTGCTTTCACAGAACCTATATACAGTATACATCAGATGGTTTTACAGTGTTTCAACCAGAGAGAATTGGTTTATTGGTGTGGGGTTTTCCTCCATCCCCCCCCCCCCCCAAATTTTCCAAAAAAAAAGTTATCTCAAAACAAGACTCCTTTCTAAGAGTTACAAGCTGAAATTCTGAACTATTAAAAGTTTGTGAAATTTTATTTCCAGTCATGTAAGACTCTCTTGCTGCAAAGTTCATAATTATTGTTGCCAAGTTTTTCTTATCTTACATCATCATTAGTAGTGGGATTGCTATTATGCCAAAGATCCATATAAATGTGTCTCTTGTTCTTTGGTTGACATATTTCTCCATATAATTTCTTCTTTAAATTGAAATATCAAGTGCAGTTGTGGTGGGGGGGGCGGGTGTTCCAGGGGTGGTGAGTTTGGAATTACATTCTCTTTCAGTTACTATCAGTTTGTGAGATGTGTATTATGTCTCTTATGGGAAGTATGCACAATTCAATAGCTATGTGTTTATTAAACTACATTACAAAATTTAGAGCATTCAATTAAAGAAGCTCCTTGTATTTTGAACTTGTATATACATTGGTATTCTTTGTTTTTAAAATGCATTTGAACTAATTTTTCTTCAAGAAGTATTCTTACAGACTGAACATGACTGACCCCCCCAAATTAGATTTTAGTGTTTGTGAGGACCTTTTCATGTCATTGACAATGTGTGCCTTTGAGGTTTACTGCACATAAGTTACTTTTAGCTTTTGTTAGTTATTTTTCATCAATACCTTTTCCATTTTCAGTTTACTGTACTATTTAGCTGAATTGTACAGGAAACCATCAGTGAACTGGAGCAAAAGCTTTATTAAAATGCGTCAAGTTAAATAACAATGAAAATTAAAATGGTATAACTCTTAGTTAGTTACAACTTTGGTTCTTCTACAATATTTTTTAATTTTAAAATATTTAGCTTTGTTTTGTATGGTGCTATCAAATCATAACAGACCAACGGTCCATTTTCTCTACTATCCTTCATGCTTCAGATTTAAAAAAAATCAAGCATGAAGCTAAGATAATGTACCTCTCTGCAGTATTATACCATGGGCAGCAATTTATTTCTGACATAGAGCTATAGACTTCTGTAAGCCTTGAAGCATGACATTTTAATAATCCTTATAATTTTATAATACAGTCCAAGTGCAGATTCTAGTAATACTAATGGATCTAATCCAGTTCTTATCATACTAAGGTATTTGCTTCTGTAGCATTCTGAGTAGTAAGTTGCCAAGACTTTAAATGGAAATTGTGGTATTTTTTAATGAAGATCATAATGCAGCAGGAAAATATTCTCTACACTTAAAATGTTTTTCCTTTTAGCCTACAGACTATACACTGTAGTCCCTCGGCTGGTGAAGTTTGTTGATATACTGACCAATTGGTATGTTAGAATGAATCGCAGAAGGTTAAAGGTAGGCTGTCTACTTACAGCAAAGCTATAGCCCAAAGTAGTTTAAATTCATTAAACTCCTAAACCCTTACAAGATATCTGTAGCATGTTTTATGAAATTACATAGTTGCTGGCTATAATTGCTATCTAATATGCTGTCCTCTTTTTATTCTATGTATATTTGTTTTTCACAGGAAAACTAAAATGAACAATACCCCATAGTTTCATTTTGGATAGGACTGAACTATAAATCTTGGGAAGTTTAACTTACTAGGTGGGCATGTAAAAATGAGAGTGTGGTTAATGATTTAAGAAACGTGTTAAGTTTTCTGATCCCTTTCTTCAACTCTGTGGATACTTTCAATAGGGTGAAAGTGGAACTGATGACTGCATTATGGCTTTGGAAACCTTGTTTAATGTTCTGTATGCAATGTGCAAACTTATGGTAAGAGATTTATCATTGTTAATTATTTAAAGTATTTAAACTTAATTCTTTTTAAAACCTTGCTGCGCATTTCTCATTGTTATAGCTCTCAGAAGCTGATAGACCAGATACTGAAAAAAGGAAAACAGCTATAGAAATTCATCATTACATTCAATAGTACTGTATTTCCTCTGCTTGTGTTTACTTGTGTTAAGCATTGAGTTTGTTTTTTGGTTTTAAAAAGCAGATGTTGGCAAAGTTATTCAAACTTACCTGAATCCAAGATGACTTTGAATTTTAGACAGCCATCCAATAATTCGATTTTGTATATGGAAAATGTATAAACTTTGTTTTAATTTTCTATGTATAGCATCTAATTAATACTAGAGCTTCCATGTGCTCTTTGCCTAGGAGGGATTGGAGCCAGAGTTGTGCCTGGTTGTAAGTGTCAAGGGATAGACGGAGTTTGAAGGGGCAGACAGTAGGACTGTGCAAAGCTTTGGTCACTGATTTGATTCAGCGGAGATTTGGCCTTATTCAGCGGCTGATTCTCCGCATCCAAATTGAATCAGGAGACCCTTTAATCTCTCCGAATTGAATTGGAAGCCTCTGAATCCGTTTGGAGGGATTCGGAAAGATTCAATGTTTCGGACATAGATAAACAGCTTTAAATGTTTTTTCTACATATCTCAAGGTACCAGGCAGCTTGTGAATGCTGAGGCAGATGGAGCGTCCCACAGGAGTGCGAGAGGGTCCCCAGCATGCTCAGCTGTGGACCTGGAAGTGGACCAGAAGCACGTCCAGGTCCGCCAAGTAGTATGCAGGGGACCCCATGCCCATCAGCTTGGCGACTGGTGCCTCCTGGGTCTGGGGGGGGGGCACCTGGCGTCTCCCTGCAGCCCTATCGCTGAGCTGGGGGGACACGGGGTGGGTCCCCCACGCACTCAGTGGCAGACCCAGAAGTGGACCAGAAGTACTTCCGGTCCACTTCTGGGTTCACCGCCAAGCATGTGGGGAGGCCCCTCCACACTCCTCTGGGACACTCCATCAACCCCAGCATTGCAACGTTCATGAGCCGTGCCTGGTACCTCAAGGTATGTAGAAAAAACATTTAAATCTGTGTCTATATCTGAATTGCTAATTCTCTGAATCAGCATTGAATCTTCATGTTCGGATTTGGCCGAATCGAATCGGGACAGTGATCTGAATCAATTAATTGAATCACTGTCCCTGATTCGGGCCCAATCTGACTCGAATACGGCCTGTTTCGCACATCCCTGGTAGGCAGCTGTTGTGGTTCTGACTCTGGCCCCAATTTCCACCCTCTACTTTAATCCAAGACGAGGGGCTTCCCCTCTGTTTTGGACGGGGAAATGACCCTCACCTTGGATTTGAGTAGATAGGGTGTATAGAAACACTGCAGTTATCCTTTAGCTACCCCAGAACAATGGATTAAGTCCAAGAGGAAGGTGATCAGCTTCACTTATTCATGAGTGTCTGTTTCTTAATTTATGTTGTACTTCATGGTTCAGAGTGTAATCTAAATAGTGTGCTTTTGCAGAGCTAACAGAAATCTCAAGGCAAACCCTTGTAATGCAAGGATTCCTGATGTAATAATAATTCAACAGGAATGTTTTGTGCTCTGATAATGAAAGTTAAATTGGTTGTGGACACATAGTATACAATTAAGTCATTAACATATTAATGAAACACATAATAATATTTCAGGCACCTTATACTCCATTTATTACTGAAATGCTGTACCAGAATCTGAAGACCCTTATTGATCCTGCCTCTGTTCAAGAAAAGAACATTGAGAGCATTCACTACCTCATGCTTCCTCAAGTGAGGTAAGAAACAAACAGCCTCTGTTAATTATGATGACTGTGCTTTCTGACTTGTTCAGGTGTTTAAGTGAAATCTTGAATGTCTGCAAGAACATATACAGCATAGTTTTCTGTAATGGTCCCTTCTGCACACAGTTATTTTGTAGATATGCTAAGTTTTTAATACTTCCCTACGTTCTTTAAGAGTTAAAATATGTAAAACAAAGAGTTTTATGAATACCTCTGATTAATAAAAGCCCCTTTGGTGAACTAAAATAGTTTCCTTTAACAATTAGTACACCGGTCATTCCTGAGGAATTCTAACCTCGCAAGACTTGACTAGTTTCTGGAGATTTGGGGTTAGCCTTCATATAGTACTTTGAGGAGGAAAGGGGCAGAGCTCACATTTGCTGTTCTCTCTATAATTAGAAATATTAGGGTTGTACAGCTAGATGGGGCCAGAAGAGAGCACAAGGTAAGTGAAAGGGTACCATGGAGGTAAGAAGTTTAACAAAGTGTTCTTTTTTTGTTTTATACATTCAAAAAGTACACTTAACTAGGTGTCTGCCTGCTACAGACCCAGAAGAACTGGTAGGCTCTGGAGCCTATTCGTGTAAGAATACTTGAATTTATATGGCCATAAGCATTCCTTAGCAAAGTTTTGTGCTAAATCTGAAGCTAAAGAGATTATCTCCTGCAGACCCTGTATCAGTTGTCAGCACAGATTAAAAGTCCAATTTCTGCAAATGGAACACAGCAAAATGCCTCTTTAAGAGGTTATCCAGTCAGAAAGAACTCCTCTGATAAGGATCTTGTCATTAAGTTCACTTGGATTCTGGTGTGGTCCAAGCTTAGCAATGGGGTCATCTTAAAATGAGGAAATGCTATTTCTTTTTGTATTGCAGCTCAGTTTAATAACCTAGTAAGATTGCAGAAACACCATTGGTCCCTTACTTGTTAATTTGGGAAGGGTAGAGCTTAAATTTTGCCTTGGTTCTTTCTTTTTATGGTATCTGTCTCGGACGGCCAGGGCCGACTCGAGTTACGCTCGTACGTCAGGGCGGGCTGGTGAATGGAGAGGCAGACACAACTTATTGGTTGTAAAAAACTTTACTCACGCCGCTTGCAATCACGACGCAGGTGGTCCGGTCGTCGGAACAACCACACGAGTTGTTCCAGCTGGCGGGGCCCAAGCCAGTTAATCCGTCCGCAATTCGAAGCCGGCGGGGAAAGGGGTACGTCGGGGTTGCGCTCGGTGACGGGAAGAAAGATCGATAGGTGATCAGTCTATCGATCGGCAGCCGCAAGTCAGATAACTTCAGAGACACTCTGCAGCGTGCTCAAAGCTCTTCGACTTGGGCGGAAGTCGCGCGGAATTTTAAACGGCCAGCGAGCCAATTACTAGCCGCCACGTGTGAATAATTTAGCACTGGCCAATAACGGGGCACAAATTTGCATCCGAATAGCGGGAACTCTTTGCACCGTGCATCTCTGTGCTGCAAAGAAGAAATGCATCCTGCAAAGGAAACTGCAAATTGGCGGGAACTCTCCTGCACGCAGGCTCTTAATTGCAGCAGAACACTCTGCTGTGCAAAGGAGCTCTCATGTGGCCAGGAAATTCCATAGTGCCGAGGCACAAAAAATCACTGGGTCGTGACAGTATCCTTCAGAGTTCCCTAGCCAGGTAAGAGAGATGAAAAGTGTTCCTTTTGATGACTTAACAATACTTTCTTTTATTGTAATGAGAAATCTACTGAGATTCGTTTAGTTACGTTCTAGATTTTCAGGACTGATGAAATGTTACTCGTGTATGCTTTAGATTAGAATTTGAACCTGACAAGTTTATGAATGCTGTTAAACTGGTAGTATTTCTGAAGTATGGAAGGGATGTTACTTACAGAAAGACTGTCCAACTTCTGAGCAGCTGAGCTCTGTGTGCTGACCAGACTCCCCAGGCCATGCTGCCCCAGGAGGCAGGGGTAGAAAGTTGAAGCCAGAGAAGGAACAAGGGAACCGAAGGCTTTGGCAGCAGCAGAAAGAGCAGTGCAGGGGAGAAGCAACTGGGCAGGAGCTTGTAGGCCACAAGTTAACCATTCATGGGCTGCCAGTTAGACATCATGATTTATAGGAATTTAACTAGATTTGTACAATTGATTAGGTTTATTGTTCCTTTAAACTAACCAAATAAAAATGGATCAGATTTAAAAAATGAATTACTCTTCAGGTTGTGTCCAAATGCCACTGGCTGTAAAACTGGCTGCATGGTCTTTCTTCTGTTTAACTATTAATTTAAAACTTCTTGAAGACCTTCCAAAGGAGAGATTTTAAGAGCTCAAAACTTCAAAATAGGCAACAACATTAGTCCAACAGTTCCAAGACCTAATAGATTAGGTTGTAGTCAAACTATACTCTTGTACCATAGGTTTTGCTCCTCTCTCAACTACATATTTTTATCCCACAAATTTTTCCTCTTAGTGATGCAGTTACTGCACACCTACAGTAAGGTTTTTGCTTTGTTCACAACTGTTTCTGATGCAATTTTTATATCAAAACAATAATGACTATCTGGCTTGATAACTTGTAGCCTTGAAGGAAATTTACCCAAATTTAGGTACTCAACAGAATCCAGCGCCCTCATTCCCAAGGAACAGATAATTATTCTTTCACTCTGATATGAGCTTTGACTGAAAAATAAGCAACCTGGAAATAAGGTTTCTGGTTATAAAACAACGAAGAATGACTATTTTGCCTTGATCATTAGGTTTGAAATGCAAAGGCTTCCTGGAATATATAACTAAAGTTATCTGCTCTCCCCCTAATATCATACAGACCATCACCTGAGAGTGCTCCTCTGTCTACATCGACCAAATGGGCAATCTCAATGTAAAAAAAAAAATGAATGAACACCAATTTGACATCTATTCTAGAAACACACAAAAATCCATGGCATTACACTTTAACTTCCCTGCACATTCCATCATTTGTTTTCTTAACAAACATTTGCAAGCCAACTTGAATGTAAAATTGTGGAGCAACAAATTATCCACAGAAGAGATTGTCTCTCAACAGAGACTACAACATGGTCTTAGAACAAACTGTAGATTCTTATCCCAGTACCTGGACTACCTATTAACTGCTTTTGTTTACCCCTATAGCCCTTTGTATATCAGTGTGTTAACTGCCTTATTTATCCCTCTGCATCTCTTCAACACACTGTCTCTGTCAGCAGTGGGTCCTCCTCTGTCCCTTTCTTTTGCGTTTACAATATTTTCTTGCATACCATATGTCTCCAAATAAAATAAACACCTTGCTTTTGAAAAGTAGAATGTAGAATTTTTTTTCCTGGAGTTATGGTGGACTGTGACAGTAAGTCCTCCTGGAAACAGAGTATCCAGGAGGGATGGCATCCCAAGAGGCAATGTGGATGAAGCAACAGGAACTTTGTGGTTTGGACAGAACAGCAACAAAGCTAGGCCCTAGTGCCTTGCAAGGGCAGTAGCAAGACTTACTGCTTTACCATAAATTGTTTGCTGTATAAATTTCCAGACTACAGCTCTCATCAATATACTATAGACTGCAGGGGGCAGCTTGTACACTCTCAGCCAGTTCAGCTGCTAATCAGCCAAAAGCTATTGCCTCACGAGTGGTCATGAGAGGGTTACTACTGTATTCTGTCCCTGCTGTTTGCATTTGTAGTTTGTGGGGAAAAGTGGCAGCCGTGAGTCACAATGTCATCTTGTTCTTTTGCCCTCCTTCTATTCCAGTGAAGAAAAAACAGCCTCCTAAGATGTGTACCCTGATTTTTGGAGAGCTTATTTTGGAGGGGCTAGGGGGAGGCTTGAGATAGGGAGGTATGCTTGGTATGCGAGTAAATATGGTAAAATCCTTTCTACTAACACCTGCCCCCTTTTCTTCTTCCAAGTCCATCTATAGTATCTGATGAAATAGGTTGTTGCCTGTGAAACTCGTATCACTCTGAACCAACTAGTCTCTAAGATGCCAACCTGACCTACCTTCTCTGTAACCAAAGTGAAATCCAACTAGTTGACTTTGAGAGAGATTAATGAAATCTCTAAAGTTGATGACTCTTTTCTCTTTGCATTACAGAAAAGAGACTATAATATGGTTTCCTGGATGTAATTTTTGAGAAGTAGTAGGTAAATGCTGCTTAAGAGCTATAAAAGGAAAAGCAATTTAATGTTTTTCTTTTTACTCTAGGGAAGATCTGATTGACAAAAAAATTGAAAGTGCCATTTCCTGTTTGCAGTCCATTATTGAGCTTGGCCGTGTAATACGAGACAGGAAAACCATTCCAGTAAAGGTTGGATATCTTGCATCAATATTCCATAAGTATTTATTGGCTTTATACGTTCTGAAGAAGGTGGGGTTGGGGAGCATAAATGAATGCATCTGTTCTAACAAGCAGTATTACCAGGGAAAGATTTAAGATGACCAGATAATACTTTGTGCCCCTTTATTTTCTCATTCAGACTGAAAATATGTTCAATTTTGTTTCAGTATCCTTTGAAAGAAGTAGTGGTTATTCATCAGGATCCAGGGGCTCTGGAAAACATTAGATCATTGGAGAAATATATACTTGAGGTAAGAGTAAGATCAAAAAACACATTACTGGAATTTCATCATGGAAGTTGGATGTAAAGTAACTCTTACTCTTCTACCTAACTGTAAGCTAGAATATTATTACTTCACTTCACTAAATTTCAGTAAGCTACAGTTCTCAGTAATGTCAGCAGAAACTAAAGGTAGAGTATGACCAAAAAATCTACCAGTAACCTGAATGAGAGTTCCTTTCTCTCAAAATTGACCAGTATCATTTCAGAGGACTTGAGAAATACGCTGTTTCTTTATTTAATGGGTAGAAGGAATGTTTTCTGAATGAGACGCATTAAATTGGTAAGCACTGCAAGAGTACATTGTGGCAAAATGTCACACGTGAAATTGTAAGAGTAGTTATTTTTCTCACATAGTTAAAAAGTGCATTTAAATGCCATGACAAGAGTGTATGTTGAAGGATAAATCAGTTGGAGCATTCTGTGAAATGTAAAAGCAGGAAACAGTTTGATACGTTCCAGGAATTTTCAAAGCTAAAACTGTTTTTCCCATGTTTTGTTATTAAAAAAACAAACAAACAATGAAACAGGTAAGGTCTTACAGTCTATAGAACTCCTTGCAGTTATTTTTTGCGTTCTCTGCTATGTGCAGATGAAGTACTTTGTCTTTAATCTGAGTCCATTAGCAAGTTGGGGGGACTTGGAGGGGCGGGATGCAGGCATGATAGCACTCAGAGCGGGGGCTACACCCTGCTGCCACTTTCCTAGCTGGGGCAGGATGCAGGTGTGGCTCGCTACGGACAGAAAGGGGCAAGAGGCAGCCATGGACTACAAGTTACTGGGGGTTGCCAGCTTCTAGATGGCAGTGGTCATGTGCTTCTCCACTGTGGGAGGAGGTGCCTTCCTGACTGTAGTTTGCCACTTGAGGAACTGCTTGCTTTGCACAAATGTCCTTGAAAGTAGTAGGGCTTATCATAAAGCTCAGCTGCTGCAGCTCATCATTATTTGTAATTTTTTCTGTCACATCATTTCCACATCATTTTAGGTCACACAGCACTAAAGCAGAACTTAATATCTGTAATAGTAAATCTCTCTCTCTTTACTCCAAAACAATTCTGATAAATGAGCTAAGGCGTAGGTTTTTTTCTGGCATTCACTTCAGTGTGGGCTGTTTGGTTGGTTGGTTTTTGGGGGGGGGGGGGGGGGGAGGAGGAAGAGGGGCCTTAAAATACTTTTTGGGCACCACTCCCTGAATCTAAATATTTTGGCTATGGTGCAGTGGGTATTATTAAGCACCACTTCCTGAATCTAAATATTTTGCTTCAACTTTGTCCTATCTCTGACAAAGTGGTCTGCTTATTAAATACATTAGGTGATCTTTATTACAATTTATGTCAATACTAATAATCTTATATCAGATACTAAAAACAAAACCAGTGTGGTGGTTAACAAATTGAAGGGCATGAAACCACTGATATTTAGCAAAATCATGGGTCTGTGTAAATGCATAAAGCTTTTGAATTAACAGTCAGTAGAATTAAATGTATAGTATGCTCGGGGCAGAAGTTGGAAAGCTCTGTTGTGAGTGAAAAAATGACAGAAAAAAAAAAGATAAGTCTATCTTGAGATATAGTTTTAGGTTTGAAATTGTCTGGAATAGCTTTCTAATTCAGTTTTGCAAAGCAAATAACCAGTTACTGCAAGCCTCTTAGAAAGCCCAAAGAACCTGTGGTTAAGTTTACAGCTAGATATAGTGTATTCTTCTATCAAGTCTAGTGCATAAGAACAACAGTTAAAAATGGCAACAAGATGAATATCGCAGAGAATAACCTAACTATTGTCTTGATGATATGTTGTTACACTAGCAGAAGATTACTCCTTGTATTTGTTGGCACATCTAGACAGTGCCCAAGCTGTGGGGTTTTCTATAATCCCTTTGGTGCTGCAGCTCTTTTTCAGTCATGTGTTCTAGTAATACTGGCTTAGAAACTTGTTCTTAAGTCTATATTTTCTTTGGTGAATTTCTACAGGAGCTTAATGTGCGTCAAGTGACACTGTCTACGGATAAAGATAAGTATGGAATCCGGCTGAGAGCAGAACCAGATCACATGGTGCTCGGAAAGCGTCTGAAAGGTGCCTTTAAGCCTGTTATGACTGCTATCAAGGAGCTGAAGAGTGAGCAGCTGGAGAAATTTCAAAAGACAGGTGTGTGGAAAAGCAGGTTATTGACTGATGGCAGAGTGGCTCATCTAAAGAAGAGGAGCCAAAAGGATTTCAGGATTCTCATGGTACAGACGCTCCCCAGAGTAAAATACACGGTAGTAAAGGTGAACCAGGCACGTAACGTATATACTTATTACAGAGGGTGCAGAAAGAAGTAACTTTTGAAACCAACATATCCAAGCAACAGGTCCTGTGTGCAGCCCCTATGGTGCCTCCCCAGCTGGAACACTTCAAAATAACAGTGGCTGCATGGAGCTGTGGCCAGCCAGGGCATGCTACAGGAGGCTGCGGCAACCTCTGACCCCACTCCTCTCTCCTCCCTTCTGCTGCAGGGCAGTTGAGTGGAGAATCTTGGTGAGGGGTTGGAGCTGGAGAACCACTGCTGGTGCCAGGTTCTCCAGCCCATTTCCCAAACCTCTCCTCTCCCCATCTCACCAGAGCAGAGTTAGATGGCATTGGGGTTGGAAAGTTGGTACCAGTGGCAGTAGGGTTTGGTGAGTGCCACAGTGGTCAGGATCAGGGAATGGGACCCAGGGGCTGGACAATCTGCCAGACTGTCCCCCTCTTCTGTGGATGGAGGGGAGAACAGAGAACTGGAGTTCTGGGGGACCTGTGGTTCCCCTGCCCTCATGCACACACAAGAAATGAAACGCTTCAATAGTGCCTCATTTAAGAGGTACTATTCTGGAATGTTTCAGCTACTTTTGGAAAACTTTAATAGGCATTTATGTTTGTATAGGTGGCACTTTAAAGAGTTTCAAGGGCACTTCAGATGCCACATGTTACTTTTGTCCACAGTCTGAGTAAATCACTTAAATCCTGGTAAAGTGATCCATAGAAAGATTGTAGAACATTAACTTGGATATCTTAAAGATGTGTTTTGTATTTGTACCTCTAATCAATTTCATTTGGGGTAGTTGCTTGCACAATGAAAATAGGCAGTTAACAGCTCCCCCTTCATCCCCCTGGCAAAGTGCTGTGATGATGCCTATTGTAGATAGCTACTTCAAGAGAACCTGGTTGTATATCTGCTTGGTACTCCAGTGTGATCTTCCTCTAGAATAAAAACTGAGATAAGCTCCCCTGAGGTAAATACATTGCGTCTTCATCCTTTGGCTGTTCAAGCTATAGTTCTTAGTTTAAATATATACTAGTCATTTGAAACTACAGGAAATTTTAAGGCACTGCAACCAGTCAACATTTCTAGCAAATTTATGAATTCTCCATATATATGAGAATAGAGAGGAAGCTGTGAGTTGATTCTGAATTTGTTGGTTTTATACTTTGCTAAATTTATAATACTTCCATGTTCCCTAAGAAAGTTGGACAGCATGTACTGGATGTAAACTGCTATAAGGTTTGGGTATCACCTTGCTGTTGCTGCTAAAAGAAACATGACGGGGTGTGAGCTCCACATTTTTGAAGGTTGATACTAATAATATACTTTGTGCAAGAGTTAGCTTTAGAATGCATATTGCTATGACTTTCAAATGCCTTGTTCATCAGTAAGCTAGCATTGTGGTTGGTGTGAGCAAGGGGATGGGCTTGCCTAAGCAGAAAGCCTAGGCCTGCCATATCACAGCAATACAGGAGCCAGTGGCACAGGATCAACAAACAGGGGAGTTTGGGGAGTTTGCCCACCTTCTTTCTTTGGGAGCTTGCTAAGTGGAAGCAGGTGAAGGAGGAAGAGGGAATTTTTTTCCAGGACATAGTAGCATAAGAAGAAGAAGATGTTAGCAAGAAAAACGATAGGATTGCTGGGAGATGTTGACGTGCCAAAGCCTCTGCTACTGCCAGTCCTTTCTCTGCCTGCAGCTGTGCAGGCTCTGTCTACGCATGCCCCCTGACCATGAAGGCTTACACCCAGGTTTTAGCCTGACTTTGCAGTGACTGCAATCTGCATGTTCTTGCCAGGGACATGCTTTTGGGGGAGTGCTTGTGGTGTAAGAGATGCTTCCTGCTGGATTCTCTCGGGTATGGGAGCTGCAGGAGAAGGTGGATAGCCTCTGGAACATCTGTGACCCAAAGCACAACGTTCCCTCCAGCATCATGGGAGAGGGACAGCCAGAGAAAGCACTGGAAAATGGACCTTTGTGGAACATGGAAGCTAGCATCTTGTTACCTGTAGAAATGAACAGCACTTCTTCTGGACCTGCAGCTGTCCAGCTGGAGAATGGGTAGGAAGCCTTTACACTGGATGAGAAGGACCCCAGTCCAGTGGCAAGGGAGGCCAAACCATGCACCCCAAAGGGAGGGAGGATCCAGACCATCGCTACCAAATAGAAGCAATGGGTGACGGTGATTGGCGATGCTCTCCTGCGAGGCGTGGACGCATACGCCTTTTGGCTCAGGCGGTCTGCTGCCTGCCGCAAACCAGCATCCAAGATGTCACAGAAAGATAGTCCAGATTCATCTGGTCCTCTGACTACTACCCCTTACTGCCATAGGAGAGCTTGAGCAGATCAACAGTGATTATATGGCTCTGGGCGCAAAGGGGATGGGAGCCCAGGTGCTGTTCTCCTTGATCCATCTGTCAAGGTAAAGGCCCAGCGAGAGGCAGATGCATCCTAGAGATCAACACATGGCTGTGTAGATGGTATTACCAGCAGGGCTTTGACTTTTTTGACCACGGGGTTGTGTTCCAGGAAGATGGACTGTTGGGAGGGGATGGGATCCACCTGATGGAAGAGGGCAGAATGTCTTTGTGTACAGAACCTAGTGAGGAGAGCTTTAACTAGGTTCCTCAGGGGATGGAGACAAAAACCCAGAGGTAAGTAAGGAGCCTGAAGATGAATAAAGCTTAGTAAAGGGAAGCAATAATAGAAGCTTTGGCAGTGTTCTCAGGTAGAGGATAGGACAGTTAGGTGCTTGCAAAGGTTATACACTAATGCAAGAATTATAGGGAACATAAAAGTCCTAGTACAATCACAGAATTATGATATAATTGGGATTACAGAGATGTGATAGGATAGCTTGAGAGTGGAGTATGGTCATATAGGTGGGTATAGCTTGTTCAGGAAAGATGGACTGGAGGGGAAAGGAGGCAGTGCTGCCCTACACACAAAAGCTATATACATGTGGTCCGAGGGGCAGTATGAAGTGGACGGTTGAAAGCCTGTTTAAAAGTCTCTGGGTAAAGATCAGACAGAGAGCAGAAGGTGGGATGTCATGGTGGGCATCTGCTACAAGCCTCTGAACCAAGAGAAGGAAGTGGACAAGGCAGCCTTCCAACAATGACAGAAGTTTCCAAATTACAGGACCTGGTTCTCATAGGAGTCTTTAATTATTGAGACATCTGCTGGGAAACACAGCAGTGCACAAGAAGTCCATTAAATTCCTTGAGCGTGAATCAAGGTAACTTCTTTATTCACATAGTAGAGAGGCCAATGAGGTGGGAAGTTTTTCTTGACTTACAGGGAGGAATTGATGGAGAAAGTGCAGGCTGAAGGTAAATTTGGTGACAGTGACCATGAAATGATAAAGTTCAAGGTCGTAAGGGGGGGAGGGAAGGAGAGCACCAGAATAAGGACACTGAACTTGAGAAAAGCAGACTTCAACAAACTCTGGGACCTGGTAGGCAGGATCTCTTGGGAGGCAAGTCTGAAGGAGAAAGGAGTCCAGGAGATCTTGGTGTATTTTAAGGAGGCCCTCTTAAGGGGACAGAAGCAAGCTATCTTAATGAGGCGGAAGAATGGGGAGTGCAATAGGAGTCCAACCTGGCTGGATAGCCATCTCTTCAAGGAGTTGAAACTTGAAAATGAATGCTGTAAGAAGTGGAAACTTGATCATAGTGCTAGGGAAGAACATGAAAGTATTGCACAGGCATGCCAAGGCATAATTTGAGATGCAGCTGATAAGGGATATAAAAGGCAATAAAAAGGGGATTCTATGGGTATATCAGAAGTAATAGAGGACCAGAGGTTCCATAGGTCCCTTAAGGAATGCAAAAGTCTATATGGTCATAGACGATGCAGACAAGGCTGAAGTATTTAATGCCTTTTACTTGGGTTTTCATAAATAGGGGGCAGCTACCAGATGATGAGTGCCATTGGCAACAGAACTAGGAGAGGAGACAAACAGCTTAGAGTAATGGCAGAACAGATTAGTGATTATTTGGAGAAGCTAGATGCTTTCATGTTGGTAGGGCCAGATGAGATGCACTTGAGGGTACTGAAGAAACTGATGAAGGTAATTTCAGAGCCAGTGACTATACTTTTTGAGAACTCATGGAGTTTTGGGTGAGATTCTGGATGACTGGAAAAGGGCAAACAGTGCCCATGTTCAAGAAGGTGAAGGAGGAGGATCTGGGGAACTACAGACCAGTCAGCCTGACCTCTACCTGGAAATATCATGGAGAATGTCCTCGGGGAATCTATTGTGAAGCACCTCAAGAAGAACAAGAGCGAGTCATGCCTGACTTCCTTCTATAAGGTGACAGTCCCTTTGGATGAGGAGAGAGCAGTGGATCTTGGTATATCATAGGTTTAATAGATTTCTAGGGTCAGAAAGGACCTTATAGATCATCGAGTCTGAGCGCTGAGGTTAAATAACCCTAGCTAGGTGCCCGTCTAATCTTTTCTTGAACACCTCCAAGGTAGGGGAAAGCACCACCTCCCTTGGAAGCCCATTCCATATTTTGTCAACCTTCACCGTAAAGAATTTCTTCCTGATAGCCAATCTAAATCTACTCTCCTTATTTTATGGCCATTTTTTGTAGTAACCCCGAGGGGTGCCCTAGTAAACAGAGTATCCCCTATTCCCTGCTGACCCCCTATGATGAGTTTGTAGACGGCCACAAAATCATCTCTTATCGTCTTGCAGAGGCTGAAGAGATTCAGGTCCCTCAATCTGTTTTCATAGGATCTCACCCACAGGCCCTCAACCATATGAGTAGCCTTCTCTGAACCCTCTCAAGGTTATCCACATCCCTCTTGAAGTGCGGCACCCAAAACTGGACGCAGTACTCCAGCTGCGGCCTGACCAATGCTGCACACAGGGGAAGTATCACCTTCCTTGACCTGCTCGTGATGCACCTACTAATGCAAGAAAGAGTGCAGTTAGCCTTACTTATTACCTCGTCACATTGGCGACTCATATTCATTTTTGTGCTGACCAAGACTCCAAGATCCCTTTCCACTGCCGTGGTGCTCAGAATGGTACTTCCCAGTTTCTAGGTGTATTGGAGATTTTCTCCCCAGGTGCAGCACCTTGCACTTATCCTTGTTAAATTGCATCCTGTTCTGATCCACCCACTTCCCCGGTCTATTTGAATCCACCTGGATTCGCTCCCTGCCCTCCAGTGTGTTTACTGTACCCATAGTTTGGTGTCATCTGCGAATTTGGACAGAGTGCTTTCAACCCCCTCATTCACTGATCATTCATCAATCACTGATGAAGATATTGAACAGCACTGGTCCAAGGACAGAGCCCTGGAGAACACCACTGTCCACATCTCTCCAGGGAGAAACCGCCCCTTCCACCACCACTCTCAGGGTGCGTCCCATAAGCCAGTTTTTCACCCACCTTACTGTGGAAAAAATCCACATCACAGCTACTCAGTTTGCTTGTAAGAACTGGGTGCAACACTGTGTTGAAAGCCTTTTTAAAATCCAAGTAGATAACATCTATCTCCACCCCTACATCTAAGCACTTTGTGACCTGGTCATAAAAAGAGACCAGGTTAGTTGGGCAGGGTCTGCCTGCTATAAAACCATGCTGGTTTCCCCTTACCATGTGTTACCTGCTGGCCCCCCACAAATGTGATCCTTTATGATTTTTTCTAAGATCTTGCCAAGAATAGAGGTAAGGCTAACCGGCCTATAATTCCCTGGGTCCTCCTTCCTCCCCTTCTTGAAAATAGGGACCACATTGGCCCTTTTCCAGTCTTCTGGGACCTGTCCTGAGCACCTCAAGCACTCAAACACTGGCCAATTCCTTTAGTACCCTTGGGTGAAGATCATCAGGGCCTGCTGACTTAAATATGTCCAACCCCCGCAAGTGCCCCTTCACTAGGTCAGCACTAACCATAGGTGGATTGGTATTTCTCTCACGCCAGACTAAAGTCTTATTGGGAAGTGTGTTTGTATCAGTGTCCAGTAACAAAGATGCAAAGAAGTCATTTAAAAGCTCTGCTTTATCTATCCTGTCTGTTACAAGTTGCCCTAGAGTCTAGACCATTCTGTAGTGGCCCTATGCTACCCTGTGCCTTCTTCCTGCTCCCTATGTACTTAAAGAAGGACTTTTTGTTACCCTTAATCTTTGTTGCCAACTTGTGTTCAGTATCTGCTTTGGCCTTCCTCACTGCTTCCCTGCAAGCACAAGCCAAGCAGGTGTACTTTTGCTTGGCAGCCGCCCCCTGCATCCACAGCCTGTAAGCCTCTCCTTTCCTATGAAGGCTCTCCTGGATTTCCCTGTTCAGCCAAGAAGGTTTTTTTTGGCTCTTTTTGCCTCCCTTTGTGTGAACTGGGATGGTGCCCCTCTATGCCTGCAAGATCATTCCTTTGAAGAACTCCCACCCTTGACTTAAGAAGGCCTTTGCCGCTCTTTCCTACAGCATTTTCATTAGCAAACTAAGGAAATACAGACCAGATGCAAGTACTATACGGTGGATACATAACTGGTTGACTTGTCATGCTCAGTGTGTTAGTAGTCAATGATTCAATGTCTAGCTGGGAGGAAGCATCAAGTGCAGTTCCCCAAGGGTCTGTCCTGGGTCTGGTATTGCTCAACATCTTAATTAGTTATTTGGATAATGGGATCGAGTGCACGCTTAGCAAATTTGCTGATGATACTGAGTGTAGGTGGAAGTGCAGACATTCTGGAGGGTAGGGCTAGGATACAGAATGATTTGGATAGATTGGAAAAATGGTCTGCAGTCAATCAGATGAGATTCATCAAAAACAAGTATAAAGTCCTGCACTTGGGATGGAATAACCACGTGCACAAATATAGACTAAGGAATGATTGGCTTTGTTACAGTATTGCAGAGTAGGACCCAGGGTCTGTGGTTGACCATAAGCTTCATATGAACCAACAGTGTGCTCTAGTTGCAAAAAAAGCCAACAGCATTCATTTCTGCATTGTATTAATAGGAGTGTCACTTGCAAATCAAAGGAAATGATCCTTCTGCTCTGTTCAGAACTGGAGACCCAAACATCAATTGGTGACGGACAGGGGGGACAAGGCTGAACTCCTCAACGAGTTCTTTGCCTCAGTGTTCCTAAGAGAGGGGCACAACAAGTCTCTCACTGGGATTGTAGAGAGGCAGCAGCAAGATGCCAGACTATCATGCGTAGACCCTGAGATGGTGCAGAGTCACTTGGAGGAACTGGATGTGTTTAAGTCGGCAGGCCCGGATGAGCTCCATCCGAGGGTACTGAGGGCACTGGCTGATGTCATTGCACAGCCACTGGCAGGAATATTTGA